GGGGGAGGTTGAAGGGGGGTGGCCGCCGTGAAGCCAGCAGCTCCAGTCGCCCGTGAGCCCGTTGCTCCAGAGGCCCGTGAGCCCGTTGCTCCAGTTCCACGTGTGCCAGTTGCTCCAGTTGCCCGTGTGCCAGTTGCTTCAGTTGCCCGTGTGCCAGTTGCTCCAGTTGCACATCGCGAAACTATGTTTTCTCGCTTTCGTATCGGAAACCAGTTGCCAGCGACTGGTTGGGTAAAACCAGTCGTTTCGGTTTGCAAACCATTGGCTTTGGCCAATGGTTTGCGCTTTGAATGCTTTGGGGTCTTTTGTGTGTTGGCCAGCGCGAGTCCGAGAAGTCGCACCTGATTTCGAGGAATGGGTGGTGAGTTGTAGGTATGGCAGAGGTTTGGAAGTAGCTGTGAAGATTTTGGCCAGTCGCGAAGCTCCACGCCTGCACGGTCTGGTTGGTCGAAATTTTGCCTCTGCCATCGATGGTTGATTCCATTATCTTGTATAAAGGTTCCCGAAGTGTAACTTATCGTGTTAGTTGATGTAGATTTATGTAAGTGCAAATATTTAATATGATTTCTGAATATTTTGTTGTATTTTTTGCGCATTCAGCTCATGAAAAGCTTAAGCATTACAATATCATAGGATTCTTAACATAAAAAGCTGAAATAAGCTGGCGTATGAATTACGTTGGAATTCGGTAAATTTAGTGTTCTAGTGGAATTAGAATCACACACCTGCTACACTTTGTAACAAAATCGTTCATAATTTACGCGAAATTGGTACAGTTTAGGGTACCTTCAGTCTATATACTCCATAACACATAATCGCAAGGGCATTGCCTTTTCGATGCTTGTTGGGAGTATTGTTGAATATGTCAGAGAAATTCAATCTGTAAAGTATCGCCCAGTCAACCTGCGAGGAGCCCATCTACAGATACGGTAAATCACGCGTGGGCCCTGGCAAGGACAGATCGTTCAACGGTCGGGTCTGTCCAGGTGCACACAGGGTGGATGAATTTGGAGGTTGCAAGTGGATCAATATTTGCCAGCGCGAAACATTTCAGGTGGGTGTAATACTTCGCTTCTGCTGTTCGCACAACAGAAATTCTGGCGCGTCAGGTTTTTGCGCGCCAGATTTTCTTTTCGCTGGGTAACCAGTTGAAAGTGCGTGTTGCGTCAGCCTGGCACAGCCCTGGTGTAGTTGGGTCAGGTGGTCCCAGCCGAGCTGGGGCTCGGGCTGTGTCAGCTATCGACCGAGCCACGTATGATCGTGGCTCGGCCCCCAACTGCGCCCAAGGATCAGCCGCCCGACTTCGCAGCATTCGGAGTGGCTGAGTGCCCAGCCCTTGGTTTGTCATTTTTTTTACGTGTCCCGCGTGAGGACAAAATAACCCTCACCCATAACGGGGCCCTGGTTACGGGGCCTCGAGCAAAACCACTTGTCTAGGTGTACGCGTGGCAAAAAATCGCCACGATTTTTTTTGAACGAATAGAAACAAGCCTGCTACCCTCGGTTGAGAAGCACCGCGAGAAGCACCTACAGCTAAGATACTCTTCTCAGCTGCAGCTAGGCGCTCCTCTAGCAGGTCGACAGTGAGCTCGGTGGGGCAAAGGGAGAGAAATTGGTCCCTGACTGAAGAAAGGGAGTCAGGGAGGCGGGTGACTAGGTAGTAAAGGGCGATGTACATGGGGGGGTGGGGTTCTTGACACAGAACTCAGTGGGAAGGGCAGCGCGGTAGCGGGCGTCACTAGTGCGGAGGTGAGCAACTAGGTCAGCGAGTGTGGCAAAGGCGGCAAGGTCAGGGAAAAGGTACGGCAGCATGAGGCGGCTGAGGGCAGCAGTGGCAAGGGAGGAGTAGCGCGCAACTACAACGTCGTACCAGGACTGAGCAGTCTTGTACTGACCAAAATGCGCTCGCTCAGCAGGTGGCAGGTGACTACGAACAGCAAGGCGAGCAACAGCGTCACGAGTGGTCCACTGCGAGCTAACAGTACTGTCAGTAGTGGCAGCAGGAGCAGTGGAGACACCGGACGTGTGATCGAAAAGGGATACCCCATCCCTAGAGTCACACTGAAGAAAGAGCTGCAAGTCGTCAACCCACACATCAAACTCAACTGCACGCCCCTCAGCATCAAAGGTGAGAACAGTGGGGCTAGCCATAGTAGTAGTAGCAGCAGGAGCAGCAGAGGCAGCAGAAGCAGCAGTGGCAGCAGGCGCAGTGCAAGGAGAAGGGCAGCGCGGCTCGGTTCGGCAGCGCGGTCCGGCTGGGCTGCGCAGCTCGGTGGGGCGGCGCGGCTCGGCTGGGCGGCGCGGCTCGGTACTGGGCGGCGCGGCGCGGCAGCAGGCGGTGCGGCGGGGGGGGGAGGGGGGAGGGGGGGGGGGGGGGGGGGGGGGGCAGAAGGTGGCGGGGTGGTGCGGATGCTTACCAGGGGCGGGTGCAGGGCAGGGCCGCAGCTGGTGGTTTTAGGTCAGGGCCGCGGCAGGGGGCGACTGTAGGGCAGGACCGCGACCGGGGGCAGCTGCAGGACAGGACCGCAGCAGGCGGCCGTGGCGTGATGGGCGGGCCGGAACTGGCGATCGATGGGCGGCAAGAGGGGCCGTGACGGGCGGCTAAGGTCCGTGACGGGCGGCTAAGGGCCGTGACGGGCGGCGAAGGGGGGGGGGGGGGGGGGGGCGCCGGGCGGCGAAGGGGCCGACGGGCGGCTAAGGGGCCGCGACGGGCGGCTAAGGGGCCGACGGGCGGCTAAGGGGCCGTGACGGGCGGCTAAGGGGCCGGCGACAGGCGGCTAAGGGGCCGTGACGGGCGGTGAAAGGGGGCCGACGTGTGAAGAAACAGGAATGAATGATTGACTAGGAAATGAGTTGGGTACAAATATGAACCCTAGGAAACTGTACCCCATAGTGTCTACCCCACTACAGACTAGACAGACTATGTGATTAATGTTTGACACACCCCCATAGGCAAAGTGGGGGAGAACAAGGGGTCACAAGACCAGTCAAGCAAAGCAAAGCAAAGCAAGCTCAGGGTGGATCACAACGTCACCACACATTCCGAGCACAGGTTCAAAGGCCACAAGGCCAGTTCACATGCAGTATTATATATAAGAAGCAAACAAGGAAGTGCGGGTATATATATGGATCACAGTACAAGTAAAGTCAAGAGGTAAGCAAGTGAGGCCAAGTAGGCACAAGACCTAACATAGTACAAAAGCGCTGATGATCACAAGGCTGAAGTGCCTTGGTGAAGATATCAGCAGTGTTGGCCTGAGAGGCCACGTAAGCAAGGCGTAGCTGACCACGCTGCTGCAGCTCACGAGCAAGGAAGTAGCGAAGAGCAATGTGCTTCGTTCTGTGCTCCAGTCTGTGCTCCCGACACAAGGCCAACATGGCCTTGTTGTCTACGTACAGAACTGGAGGAGAACGAGGCGGCTCTCCCAGGTCAGTCAGTAGGTAGGTGAGCCAGCGTAACTCCTGTGCAGCCATGGCCCCTGCGTAGATCTCAGCCTCACAGCTGGAGCTGAGAACAGAAGACGAGCGGGTAGACCACCACGAAACAGAACCGGAACTAAGGCTGAAGGTGTAACCCTGTGACGACCGCTGAGTAGCCAGGTCGTCAACCCAAGACGCGTCTGCGTGACCAGTGAGGACCACTGGACTCCGCCCTCCAAGCACGAGCCCCATGCCCGACGTACTGCACAAGTAGCGCAACACCCTCTTCGCGGCAGCCATGTGCTCTGGTCGGTGTCTCCCAGGAGCAACATAGCATGCCAAGATGCTAAGTGGGTATGCCAGGTCAGGTCGAGTGCAGGTCATCAGGTACATGAGGCAGCCAACAAGCTCTGGGTACGGACCACTCGGCTCTACGGACTCATCCGAAGGCAGAGCTGAGAGCGAGTGGCGAGTAGACAGAGGAGTGGCCTGAGGCGAGGAGTACGTGAAGTCGAAGCGCTGAAGGACCTGCTGCACCATGTGTGACTGAGTCAGGGTAATGGTGCGGCGTGCTCTGTCCCGGGTGATCTGCAAGCCAAGATAGCTGCGCAGTTCACCCAGGTCTGTGCACGTGTGTCTCTTCTGCAGCTCGGACTTCACGTGGGCGAGTCCAGCAGTGTCAACCGTAGCAAACAACAAGTCGTCGACGTACACGAGGATGTAGAACGGCGGCAGCAAAGTGTCGGTGCGAAGAAACAGCGACGGGTCAGCAGTAGAAGGAGCAAACCCAAGAGCCGCAAGTGTAGTCCTCAGTGTGTCGTGCCACTCACGGGGCGCCTGGCGGAGACCGTAGACTGGCTGCCGGAGGCTCCACTGGGTACCAGGAGGAAACGACCCAGTGAAGCCGGGTGGGCGGCGCAGCCAGATCTCCTCGTGCAGGCTGCCCTGTAGGAAAGCAGTGCTGAAGTCAAGAGAGTGAAGCTCGTAGTCACGCTGAGCAGCGACGTGCAGCAGAACCCGAAGAGTGGTCATCTTCGGGGTCGGGGAGAAGGTCTGAAAGTAGTCAACTCCCTGCCGCTGACTGAAGCCTCGAGCCACGTAACGCGCCTTGAAGACAGGCGGAGAACCCGGCGGCCGCTTCACCCTGAAAATCCACATGCCGCTGACGATGTTCGCCCCAGGTGGGGGAACCTCGTCGACGTAGGTGCGTGTGGACTTCCAGGAAGCCATCTCTACGTCCATGGCTGACTGCCACTAAGAGGAGTAGGGACCCTCTATCGCCTCTGCGTAAGAGCGCGGGGTCGGGATGTCTGGTGCATCCGGGTCTCCCTCAGGGGCAATCAGCAAGGACACGAGATGAGGTAAAGCAGCAGCAAAATACTGGAACTCCTCCTGCCTGTCCTCAAGGACGTCCGTGCTAAGAGCATACTCACCCCCGACGGACGGAGGACAGACAGACTCAGACTCAGCAACAAGACTAGCGGCGTAGTCTAGACGACAGTGAGCAGCGAAGTCGACAAGCTCGGCAACTAAGGCAGACGCAGCAGTGGACTCAAAGGAAGGGTCAGTGACAACAGTGGCTAGGAAATGCGTGACAGTAGGACTGGCAGCACGAAGAGAGTCAGACTCCGGGTCAGCAAGAGCAGGAAGAGAGGACTCTGGAGGAGACGGCAAAGGGACACGCTGCGGTGCAGTGGAAGGACGCAGTGCCATCTGATGCGTGCCCGGGACCGCAGGAGGACGCTGACGTGGAACACGACGGCTAGTGCGAGTAGTACGAACAGGTGACGCAGGATGCGACTCAGGCTCACGACGCTCAGCAAGACCTCCAGTAGGACCAGCGTAGGGAGAAGGAGCAGGCAGAGGGGAGGCCAGCTGTAACTGTGACTCGGACTGGACAGGCGGTGGACACTCTAAGGAGGGAGTAGGACCAGAAGAAGGTGGAAGTCCAAGCACCTGCTCAAGGAGCGGAACGAAGTACGGCCGCGACCGCGCAGCGCCTCCAGAACCAGCAGAGACAGCACCAGCACCCCCAGCGTCAGCGCCAACTCCAGCAGCACCACCAGCACCAGCAGCACCTCTAGCAGCTCCAGTAGCGCCAACTCCAGCACCCACAGGAGCACCGGCTCCAGCAGCACCTCCAGCTCCAGTACTTCCAGCAGCTCCAGCTCCAGCAGGACCACCGGAAGACGCAGTAGCTCCGGCTCCAGTACCCCCAGTAGCACCTACTCCAGCAGCACTACCAGCTCCAGCTCCGCCAGTAGCCCCAGCACCAGTAGCACCACCAGGCCCAGCAGCTCCAGTACCTCCAGTACGAGCACCTCCGGGACCCGTGGCTCCAGCGCCCCCAGCAGCAGTAGGACCTCCAGCACCGGCAGCACCACCAGCTCCAGCAGCACGGCTCCAGCGCCGAGCAAACCACTCGCGCAGCTCCTGTGGAGAGGGTAGCTCCCGCCGGGACAACGCACCCGAAGGACCTCCAGGTCCAGCACCGTCAGGCTCCGCACCCCCACGCCCAGCAACCCCAGGCTCAGCACCCCCAGACCCAGCAACCCCAGGCTCAGCACCCCCAGACCCAGCACCCCCAGGCTCCGCACGCTCAGGCTCAGCACCCCGAGAAGCACCAGAGTCAACAGCTACCTCGACAGGCTCGACTGCATCTACCTGGGACACACCTGAGGGGGCAGGACCCTGAGGGGGGAGAGGGTCTACCAAGGGGGGACCGGGCGTGAGGAAGAGCGGTGGGGGGGGGAAGGGGGGCAGCGCGGTAGGGGAAGAGACGGTAGGACGGAACCGACTCGTCAAACGTGACGTCCTGGGAGGACAGAACACGGCGCGAGGTGGGGTGGTAAAACTGCCAACCAGGCGCGTCAGGGGGGAAGCCGAGGAAGACGCAAGGAACAGCACGGGAGGACAGCTTGTCCGCAGACAACTCACGGACGAAAGCCCGAGATCCCCAGACACGGAACGCAGACGCATCGCCAACCTTCCCCGTCCACCGCAGAGTAGGGGAGGTCTCCGGCATGGAGACCCGGGGCTGAAGGTTGATCTGATGCGCCGCGTACTGAACCGCGAACGGCCACAGAAAATGGGGAGCAGCCGCATGAATCATGGACGTACGAGCGACGTCCATGACCATGCCAATGCGGCGCTCAGCAATCCCATTTTGCTGTGGAGAGGCCGGAAGCGTGAACGTCTGGCGGATGCCCTCCGCACGTCAGAAGGCTAGCAGAAGGTCGGAGGAAAACTCTACACCTGTGTCGGAGTGCAGACGCAGAACAGGAAAGTCCGAGCCGAAACGCTCTCTGAGTTGGAGACGAGAAACGCGGATCCAGTCGATCAACACCTCAGTGACCTCATCCTTGCGGCGCAAGGGGAAGACTGAGGTGTAACGCAAGAAGTCGTCGACCACTAGCAGGAAGTAACGCTCGTGACCCTGTCCACGGACGCGGGCTGGGCCCCACACGTCCATGTGAAGAGTCTGCAGCGGAGCCTCTGGAGAGGAAACTCGGAGGAGTGAGGAGCAGCGCGCTGCCGCCCCTCAACGCAGGGAACGCAGGTAGGGGCAGGCCCCGGGGGGAGGGGAGGGAGGGACCGGGGGAGACCAGAGACAAGGACACGGGAGGCCATGCCTCGGAGACGAGGCAAGGAGGGGTGACCAAGGCGGTGGTGCCAGAGGAGGGTCTGGTGAGACAGGAGGCGACACGAGCAGGGGGCAGACTCAGGACCTGACCAAGACGCTGCAGCAAACACCTGACTCGACGCAGCTACCTGACTAGACGCAGCAACTGGAGGAGACTATTTGGTCAGTGTGTACAGGCTCGACCCCGGTCGACGGGTAAACGTGACCAAGTGGCGGCCCGTCCGAGCACACGTGCAGTGGGTCACTCGCTCACTCGCAGGAGCGAACTGGTCAACCCCGCCATCCTGAAGATCAGCACCACTCACCAAGTTCGTAGAGAACGAGGGGAGGTAGAGACCGGACAGGGAGCCTGACGGGGCCGCCGGACACGGTAGGACAGTGGAGTAGCGGGCAAGGACAGGACCCCCAGAGGGGTCTGCCAGGGAGACCGCAACCGGCCGACTGAGCGGCGTAAGGGTGGTGCGGTCTCGAAAGAAGGAGCGGGAAGCACCCGAGTCGAAGGTGAAGGTGTGCAAAACCTGAGCCGACGCGGTACCTGAGAGAGCAGACTCACCAGCACCTGGAGCAGCAGACTCTCTAGCACCTAGAGCAGTAGCCTCAATGCCCGGGTCAGGCGGAACACACACGTAACAGTCACCCTCAACACTAATAGACACAGCATACATGGCAGCAAGAATAGCATCAAAATCAAGATCAAAGATAGCTACACCCGACCTGAGCAGATCACCCCAGCGAGGGATCTCAGTGGCGTCAGGGAACTGGGTACGCTAGGCATCTGTCAGGCGGCCGAAGCAGCGCTGGGTGGCGTGCAGGCCGCCACACTGCTCTCCAGTGCGGTCGCCGGTGCGCAGTACGTAGGTACAGGGACCAGCACCCCCAGACCCCTGGCGCCCTGCGTACCACTCACGAAGCTGCTGGGGCGACGGGGTCTCACGAGAGCGTGGCTGGTGCTGGGGTCCCCGCTGCACAGCTCCGCCTCGACCAGCTCCACCGCCGCCGCCGCCGCCGCCTCCGCCGCGTCCGCCACCTCCGCCTCCACCGCCATCGCTGCCACCGAAGCCCCCACCTCTGCCACCACCCCCACCCCCACCCCCGCCTCCGCCTCCACTGCCACTACCACCTCCCTCGCCACCTCCTCCAGCGCCCTTGCCCCGCTTTCCCTTGCCATTGCGGCGCTCTCGCTAGGAGCAGACGCAGCGCTGACCGACTCGGTGCCAACAAGGTCGACAGCAGCAGCAGAGGCAACGGAGGGCAAGAGGGGAACGGGGGAGCACCCCTCAAAGAAAGGGGTACGGGGGTCACCACGAGAGGCTCCTACAGCTGTAATACTGGTCTCTGCTGCAAGGAGGCGCTCCTCGAGGAGGTCAACGGTGAGTGTGGTGGGGCAAAGAGAGAGAAAGTGGTCCCTGACCGAGCGAAGGGTGTCAGGGAGTCGAGTGACTAGGTAGTAGAGGGTGATGTACATGGGGGGGGGGTTCTTGGCGCAGAACTCAGCAGGAAGCGCAGCGCGGTAGCGGGTGTCACTGGTGCGGAGGTGCGTAATGAGGTCAGTGACTGTGGCAAAAGCGGCGAGGTCAGGGAACAGGTAAGGCAGCATGAGGCGGCTAAGGGCAGCAGTAGCAGGGGAAGAGTAGCGTGCAACTACAGCGTCGTACAGAGTCTTAGCACTCTTGCACTGACTAAAGTGCGCGCGCTCAGTAGACGGTAGGTGACTACGCACAGCAAGGCGGGCAGCAGCATCGCGCGTGGTCCACTATGAGCGAACAGTACTGTCAGCATCAGCAGCAGGGGCAGTAGAGGCGCCAGACGTGAGATCGAACAGTGAGAGACCATCCTTGCTATCGCACTGTAGGAAAAGCTGAAGATCATCTATCCAGACCTCAAAGTCGACCGCTCGACCCTCAGCATCGAAGGTAAGCACAGTGGGACTAGCCATGACAGCAGCAGCAGCAGTGCAACTCGGCTAAGCGGCGCAGCTAGGCAGGGCAGCGCGGCTCGGCAGGGCGGGGCGGCTCGGCTGTGCTCTTACCAGGGGCGGTTGGGTAGGTGGCCGTGACTGGTTGGGCAGGGCCGGGGCAGGGCCGGGGCAGGTCCGGAGTAGGGCCGGGGCAGGGCCGCGACAGGGCCGGGGCAGGTCCGGGGCAGGTCCGGAGTAGGGCCACGACAGGGCCGGGGTAGGGCCGGGGCAGGTCCGGGGCAGGGACGGGGCAGAGCCGGTGCAGGTCCGGAGCAGGGCCGGGGCAGGGCCGCGACAGGGCCGGGGTAGGGCCGGGGCAGGGCCGCGACAGGGCCGCGACAGGGTCGTGGTAGGTCCGCGACAGGTCCGGGACAGGGTCGCGACAGGGCCGAGGCAGGGGGGGGGGGGGGGGGGGGGGGGGCGCAAAGGGCAGGACAGGCCGCTAAGGGGCCGCGAAAGATAGGGCAGGGCGCAAAGCGCGCTTCGGGCAGGTAGGAAAAAAAAAAATTTAAGGTGGGCCCTTAGGAAGGAACGGTTCCACTAGGGAACCTGCTCTATACCATGTGAAGAAACAGGAATGAATGATTGACTAGGAAATGAGTTGGGTACAAATATGAACCCTAGGAAACTGTACCCCATAGTGTCTACCCCACTACAGACTAGACAGACTATGTGATTAATGTTTGACACGACGGGCGGCTAAGGGGCCGCGACGGGCGGCTAAGGGGCCGTGACGGGCGGCGAAAGGGGGCCGACGGGCGGCTAAGGGGCCGCGACGGGCGGCGAAGGGGCCGACGGGCGGCTAAGGGGCCGTGACGGGCGGCGAAGGGGCCGTGACGGGCGGCAAAAGGGGCCGACGGGCGGCTAAGGGGCCGCGACGGGCGGCTAAGGGGCCGAGACGGGCGGCGAAAGGGGGGCCGACGGGCGGCTAAGGGGCCGCGACGGGCGGCTAAGGGGTCGTGACGGGCGGCGAAAGGGGGCCGACGGGCGGCTAAGGGGCCGCGACGGGCGGCTAAGGGGCCGCGACGGGCGGCTAAGGGGCCGACGGGCGGCTAAGGGGCCGTGACGGGCGGCTAAGGGGCCGCGACGGGCGGCTAAGGGGCCGAGACGGGCGGCTAAGGGGCCGTGACGGGCGGCTAAGGGGCCAACGGGCGGCAAAGGCAGGGCGCGATGCGCGCTTCGGGCAGGGCAGGAGAAATTTTCGTGGTGGGCCCTAAAAAAAAAAAAAAAAAAACGTTCCCACTAGGGAACCTGCTCAGAATACCATGTTAGAATCAAGAACGGGATGAATGAACTAGGAAGCAGGTGGGTACAAGTAGGAAACCTAAAAGTGTTGTACCCTATAAGAACTACCCCACTACAGCCTAAACAGACTATAGCATATATAAGTTTGACATATTCACTACTGCACTGACGTGTACGAGCACGTGCACGTGGCATTGATGAAGAGGCCATACCGAGCATCCAACAAGAGGAACGCTGAGGCATCGATCACTCGGCGTTGCCTTACGTCAGAGCTGGTCGAGAAGATGTCCGCCGTCGATGAGGTAGCAGATGACCAGGCACGGAGTGTCGCCCTTCAGCAGGTATGCAATAGTTTGTCAACACTTTGTTTGACATATCTATGTAGTGTTGTAACGTGCTCGTCTAGTTGGTCGCGTGTTGGATGTTTACACTCCCAGTTCTATCACATTCAACATCTGTCTGTATTTACACGTGCAGGCCATAGAGACAGGAGTTCCAACGGTCACGGGGACATCGGCGAGGTTAAGGGTGGGAAAGGAGAGAGACAACAATTACATAGCATACGCTACGAGCGTCCCAGGCGAC